TTTTTTTTTTTGTGTCTGTCACTACTTTTTCTCAGCTCTCACTGGACCGATTTCTTTTAACAATACGTCAAAAGATCACAAATTGTATCTAGTTGAAGACATTACCCTTAAAAATTGAAAAAAATTCCCTCGTTCCCCGTAAACGGGGGAAATACCCCAAAAAATTACAAATTTAAAAATCGCTAATTTTCGAAATTTTTTCACTTTTTTTTCTTAAAACTTTACGCTTTACTCGTATAAATATATATATTCTAATTACTATTAAAACATATATATTAAATCGCTTTATTCTAATTGAGAGATATAAAGTATTCATTCCGATTACGAGGGATAACTTCCGTATCGTCATTTTTCGTCACTACCTCCACGTTCCGGGAGTGAGTAATTTGCGCNGGGGGGATTTAAAATAGCAACTTTTTTACAAAAACTAACTTTTTCAACTTAATTTTTGAAAATGTTCCGGAAATACTGCGTCCTTTAAACATATATCAAATTAAAGCTTATTTCATGTACTATAAAATGAAAAAAAAAATTTGTCCCGACGACCTATCTTCTATACGGAAATGGCTACCGTATTCAAAAATATGCTATTTTAACAAATTTTTTTTTTAAATTAAACACTATAGATTTGCATCGAATCGTTTTTTATGATAGTGATTTTAATCACTGTCAGATATCATCTATATTGGACCCAACTATGCCACGACCCACTGTGCCGCCACCCCACTGTGCTACCGTTTTTTTGTTACTTTATACGTTTTTGTTTATGTTTTTTTATTTTTTTGGTTCCTATCCATTTTGGATGCTGAAATCAAATTAATCTGAAAGTTGGTTTGATATTAGCAACACTTGGGACATGGAGCTTTCAGCCACTGTAAAACGCCCGTATGGTTTTCTATCTGTGAGCTTTTAAAGGGCTGTGGTTAATTATAAGTTATCGTAATTACAAAAGTGCTAAAGTATTTTTAAAATTAATAAATTTTCTTTTTGTTAGAATTTTAATTTTTGACATAGATCTTTTTTCCATACTTTTTAAAAGACAAATCAAGATTTTTATTTGTTTTTGAGAAAGGGTTTCAAGAATAAAGAAACATTTAAAATTTCAATATAAACTTTATGTGTACTAAATATCATATTCTGCACATATTTTTTATAACAACTGTTATGAAAAATTATTAACATTTTCATATTAATCATAAATTTTAATAATCAAATAAAATATACTTAAATATACTTTTATACTTAAAATAAGGGTTAAAAGCGACGTGGTTCCATCGCGGTTGTAGAGTTCGAGGGTTTAGAACAATAAAGAAATGTAGATATAAAAGAAATGATTAAAGTTCCTTTTATTAACACGCTTATATTAGTTTCACCTGTTAGTATGTTTGTACCTCTCCACGCGCCACATAGTATCGCATATTCCGTCGTCTATGGCCTTGAGACTAGACTGTCATAACGCATTCACCCCACCCCACGCCATTATCAACACACGACGGCCACACTATTACTGTATAAATTTATTTTTGGTTATCGTACGCGTGCTTGTCATCAATATTATATATATATATAAACAAATTTTTATTTTGACTGACCAATACCAAATCCGCGTGCCATATGGCTTACGTATATATTCCTACCGCCGTTTATACCTCAAGTATAACGTTAGTCCGACCCGCCCGCCCACTAAACACGACTGTACCTAGTGCATGATACATCTACTTAAGTCGCTTTACTTGTATAAATATATATATTCTAATTACTATTAAAATTTATATATTAATACGCTTTATTCTAATTGAGAGATATAAAGTATTCATTCCGATTACGAGGGATGATTTCCGTATCGTCATTTTTCGTCACTACCTCCACGTTCCGGGAGTGAGTAATTTGCGCGCCTGCTGCTTTCCTTGGGTGTGGTAGCCGTTTCTCTGACCCCCTCACCGGAATCGAACTCTGATTACCCGTTACCCGTAACAACCAAGATATTGATAGTAACTACTATCATAACATGAAACTAAAAAGTGAAAAATAAATATAGTTTAAAAAAACTAAAAAAACACGCTTTTAAACTATATTTATAGAGGTATTATACGCTGAGATATTCTCGAAGTGACCGGGTTCTTTGTCTCTTATTTGACATGAAGTGATAAATTAACTGTTATGATTTATAAAAGTCTTAATAGATATAGATTAATTTTTTTATTATATAACACTTATTTTATTGTATAGAATCATATTTAAAGAATATTTAATAAAAATGTTAATAGAAACTATTAGACAGACATACAAAAAAAAATATATTTCATTAGTTAACATACAGGGAATACACGCAATTAAATAATTATATTTTAAACATATCTGAGACGGAATTGTTTTTAAAATTCTATATTATGAATTATCTATAAAAAATGTGTGCTCTACATGTTGCTTAATATATAGTAATTGAATTTCTATATTTACACTATACATAAACACAAAACTGTAGAATTACAAATCAAGTTCAATAGTTTTTTTTAATTTGTTTTTTTGTTAAGTATGAACTGACAGTGAAAAAGATTATTTATTATAAATTTTATTGAAAAATTAAGTGCCTATACTAATAATAGCACAAAGGTATGTAATTTATTTATTAAAAAAATATTTACTGTTACTTATAATAATAAAGGGTATTTAATTAAAATATTATTTTAAAAACGGTTACTATTTAAAACCATAGTATATAACAAAAATGATATAGGTAACTACTCAAACTCAAAATTTTTATAGTTTTATAATGTCTTAACATTATAAAAAAACTATAGAAAAATAACTTATAATATAAAATTAAAAATATGAAATTTTTGGACGGGTTTAGATGAAAATATTCAACTTGTTTATCAATTAACTTGGTTAAAAATTCAATATTATTAAAGACAAATAAATAATGTAGCTAGGAAGATTGTTGAAAAGGCAGCATCCATTAAAAAAAAAAAAATTTTTTAAATATTTTAAAATTATTGAATAGATCTTTAAAATTGTATTTAATTATTTTTAAACTTTACATATTATTAGCTTATCTTTTGTTAAAATCAGAATTAACTAACAAAACTTGTGGGAGATTTAAGTAAAATAACTTTTATTTAATAAAAATAATAAGCATACTGAAGAAAATGTCTATGGCTATATTAAAGATACTACTATTTAGTATGGTAATTTATTTTTGGTAATAAATTATTTTTACGGATGATCCGTTTATCATAATCTATTAAATTACTCGCAGATGAGTAACAATATTGAAAATAAAAAAATCGTTTGGTTAATTTAAGTTACATACTTTTCTCAAATTTTAAGTAATGTAATACTAAAAAGTACTTAAAAAGTTCATCCCTTATGTCTTGTAACGATATCAATTTTATTTGAAAGTATGTTGTTTCAATTTTTTTAAATTAATACAGATTTAATATTTTTATTTTATAGCGTTTACATTATCAATTAACTCAATTCGTATATCACTTAGAATACTTAAAAATTTGATTTTTGTAGTTAAACTACATGTAAAACATGGATGGCATTACATATATAGGTAGCTAATTGCATCTTTAAGACGTTGCTATTGACAGATGCGCAGCGGTTATTGATAATGAAAGAAATGTTGAGTGATAACATCAAAGTAGTTTCAAGACAGTATTATAAATAATCATAGAATTATTTCAAAATATGAAGCATTTTTAATTTCTGTTTATAAAATAATAATTGACAAAAAACGAATCTATAAAGATAAATTTATAACGTATAATTTGTAACTTTAGAGACCAATAACTCATAGAAATCAAGTTTTTGAAAAGTTTTTTGTTTTTTTTATACATTAATGTACATTGCATCTGTTTTAATGTGAAGGTTAAATTTAGTTGTAAGTTTAAAGGATTCAATTTTTGTAACATTGTTAAAAATTAATAAATTATGTTATGTCAAATTTATTAATGAATTTGATATAATATTATTTTCCACTAATACTTTAATGATTAAAATGTCAAAAAAAAAAAATATGCCAAAAGAAGGTAAGTTTAATAAGTAATTATTTATTTTTTATTTATTATTATTTTTATTAGAAAATACACAATCTGTACCTTTCACCTTTTAGGGATAAAATATATTTAATTATCTTAAACGAAACTCTTGCTTTTAATATAATAAAGGAAAAAACTTATTTTTAATTCTTATTTTTTTAATCGATCAATACTACAGCATGTGTTAATAATTTGTAATGAATTTGATAATATTATATTTATGAATAATTTTTTTCTTTATCATGTTTAAAATAGGGGTTCCTATTTAAAAAAGTCAAATTTAAGCTTACATTAAATTAATCATCTAATCTATCGTTAGTGACAATGATAAACATGATAATAAATATTATATGAGGTAAAATAATTGTAATACCACAAAAAGTTTACCTTGTTTTTTTTATATTGTGTGAATATTATACTTTGGTTGAGCTGAATATGGAGCATATAATCGACATGTTTTATTGGTAATGCTATGCTTGTTGGCTATCGGATTTTTTAAAGATGTTAATCGTATCCTTTAACTATAAAAGTTGTAGACGTAATAGTTCTTTTAGTTAAGTCTTATTTTTTTCTCTCTCTTTTCACTTTGGCTCCTTTTTTTGTAGAGAAGGAATTTATTTNTAGTTCTTGTAGTTAAGTCTTATTTTTTTCTCTCTCTTTTCACTTTGGCTCCTTTTTTTG